AGAATTTTTTTTTTGCAGAGATTGAAACCACCCCTTTTCGAGAAAAAGAATTTACAATTAAACCTTTGATTGAAAAACACTCACCGGACATACCTAAATACAAGAAAATGAAGCTTCATAAGTAGCGTGGTGTGCATCAATGGCGAACCTGTTAATTGATGCGGTTTTAGCTAGCTATTTTTTGAGGCGGTTTTGACTATTTTTTAGTGCAATTTTAGCTATTTTTTGAGGCGGTTTTGGCTATTTTTTGGTGCGATTTTTGACTATTTTTTGAGGCGGTTTTGACTATTTTTTGGTGCGGTTTTGGAACCGCACCATTAAATAAGGGTATTTTTTTATGCGATATTTTTTGATGCGGTTCAATACCCGCATCAATTAATCATTTTAACTGCATCAACAAATGTTTTCTGTACTAGTGTCTCTATGTAATCACCATAACATTTTGTGCAAAATCTATCTATAGGTTTTCATCAACAAAGATATCCTTACACCAAGTTTAGTAGGATCAAATGACACCATCATCTTCAACTCCACTAGTATTATATTTCTCTTCAAGTAAGTATTCTTCATCTTTGATTTAATGTTTATCAAGTAATTGAGAAATTGATCTTGGACTAAACCTATATATGGTATAAGAGCGTGATTTAATCTTTATGCCTTTAGTATAAGTTAGGATTTGTTAGATAATTGTTCATATTATTCAGTAAAATGCAACCTTAGGTTTTCGTAGGATATGTGTTTGTTTGTTCATTAATTATAATATAAACAATAATTCTCACCTTGATATAAATTATATATATACAAAAAAAGTAAACCCACTATTCTTTCGTTGAATTTATTGCTTTACTTGGAATGAGATCAAACTGGCATAAAACCATGAAACTCCCTAAATTTGGATATTCTCAATTTCAGTTTTGCATGGAAAATTAGAAATAGACGAATTTATATTCGATTTTCTATTACTGGCACTGGTATTCACTAATTTGAAATTTGGGGTATATTTTCTTTTCATGGACCCAAATTAATTTCAGTAGTCACTGAAACCTAGAAAATTAAAATCTTTTCGGGTTTTTCTTTGTTTTTTTAACACTTCAACTTACCCATTCAAACTTGTTTACACAAAACCAAAACCTCATTATCACTCATTCAATTGTTGATACTTAACAATGATAATTACGTAGGGGTATATTAAGGTTTTTTATTTGTTTGCTATCGACAAAGGGGTTGTTTGTTAGCCTCTTAATTGACAAATTAAGAGGCATGCTCTTAAAAGTTCAGATTCAAACCGTTTAGTCGAGTCTTATTTTTTGCCTCTTAATTCGACAATAGCCTCTTATTTTTTCAGACTTCACTCTACATCTGAAATGAAAAGGGAAGCGCGCGTTCTTATTTTTTCCTTTCATACCCTCGACACACCCTTCTCTTTTTTCTTGCGACATCAAAGAACAACCGCCTCCATCCTCTCCCCGTATCTCGTCGGACTTCAGCGTCGGCCGTCGCACACCACAACCATCGCACGCCACCTTCTCCCTCCAATTCCTCTCCGATCTGCAACCACACTGAAGCCTAGGGTTTGAGTTGCCGGCAAGTGGATGCTATCACTAGTTTTCATTCTTTTGTCGCTAACCCCAATATTGGTTTTAACCTATTGAGTTTATTGAGTTTGTGGTGATGTTTACTTTGCGGTCAAAGAAGGTCGAGAAAGAACAGAAAGGGTGGCAAATCATCTATTTGTAATTGAAAAGTTTTTCTGGTGGTGGCGTTTTATCCCTAAGGTGAGTTCTGGAAAACCTAACTTTTCAATCTAGCTTCTGAAACCTATGTGTTCACAATTTCAAGTTGGATTTATACAGTACCCACTACTTGTGATGCGTGTTCAATTAAAAATTCTTGCTGATGAGTTACTTTATATACGTAATTTGGGGTTTTAAATTTATGTAGCTAATGTAGGAGATTGATGAAGATTTAGTTATATGAGATTTGTTATAATATGTTTGGTAGTGTAATGAATGAGTACGTTGAACTTTCTATGCTAGTATTTCTAGCTCTTAAAATCAGACCTGGAGATGCTGTGAAATATGATGTGTAATTGATGCAAGTTCTTGAGTTTCTGAAATTTGAATGTGTTTTTGCTTGAAATTTGTATGTGTTTTTGCTTGAAATCTGATGTTGAAATCTGAATTTTATGTGTTTTTGCTTGAAATCTTTTTTGTTAGTTGATACAAGTTCTTGAGTTTCTTGTATAGAATGATATGGAACATTTATATTCAAAAGTTTTTGTTGTTTCTTTGATTCCAGATTTCTTTTTGTATGTCACATGTTCATTTACATTAGTGATTTTGGAAAAAGCTTTTTGTAGATCAAAAGATATTTTTCGTTGACAAAAGATCCAAGCTTCAAAGCAACATTAGCGGCCACAGTTTTGGGATGAATGGTTCAACAAAATCAGATCTTGCCACAGTTTTGGGATGAATGGTTCAACAAAATCAGTTTTGGGATCAAAAATTTAAACTCTTTAAGAAATTCAGACCTCTTAAAAATTCAGATCTTGCCAAACAGCTTCGAAATCTTTTATTGTATTCCAAAATACATTGCAATATGACAAAACATAAAAAAGACATTTAAGAATTATTTTCCTATCGACATAGATAAATATTATTATTTTATTAATAAAGTTTGTAAGTTTAACTTTATTTTAATATGAGATGTATATATTGAAAAACACGATCTGTTATACATTAAAATATGCGAAAAAATGCATATTATCTTTATGTTTTAAAAAATCCTTATATTAATATGTATAATTCAAATAAAACTAAAAAACGAGTTTTAAGAGAAATTACCAGACTAAAATTTGATGTTGCGTACATTTTTGTTTTTAAATATGATATTGAATTCAATTTGGATAAAAGCGATTAGTTGAGAGGGAAAAATTAACTGTATAGTTCTATACAAAGAATACAATCCAACAAAATAAATCGAAATAGATGTAGGATTCGACATGATATATATATATATATATATATATATATATATATATATATATATATATATATATATATATATATATATATATATATATATATATATATAGGAGGGTTCAATTGAGAAAAAAAAGTTGAGAATGAGGGAATAATTCTCAGCCACTCATTTATTTTGCCGCAAAACACTTAAGCGTACCGGCGGAATAGGCAACGGATATACATATGTTTTTCCAACCAAACATGTTTCCTTAAAGTATGCTAATCATTACCTTAATATACACAAAAACATTTTTTTTTTGTTTTTTCGATTTTTAGAATGCTATTTTTCTCTAAAATTTAATTTAAATATATCAAAATTCATAATTTTTTATTCTCTATAAATAGACATCTATATTGATGTAGTTTTAAGATAAAATAATTTTTTTTAGAGTTTCAGCTATCATTATTCATAAGTGAATAAAAACGCATCAGATTTTTATTACAGTACATTCGTTATTCACTTATGAATAAGACGCATGTTTAATTTTTTTACAGTTTAAGTATCGTTTATATATGAATGTAACATGTTATAAAGTTTTCTTAACTAAAATATTTTTTTTACATCATCTTTTGTCACATGTTATATTTATATATGAATAAAACTTGTATTAATTGCCGTCATATGTTATATTCATATATTAATAAAACATTTCTAAGATTTATGTTACAGTTCATTTGTTATTCATATATAAATAAGTAGTATATTAAAAAAAGATGAAGTGTTGAAAATTTGAACTACTTATTCATATAGGAATAACAAATGAACTGTAACAAAATTATGATAAATGTGTTCTTCGTATATAAATATAACTTATGAGAAAAGTCAATACACGTTTTATTTATATGTGAATATAAATGTGACGAGAGTTGATGTAAGCTGTAAAGAGTTTATTATATGTTATATTTATATATGAATGATACTTAATCTGTAAAAAAATTAATCATATTTTTTATTCATAAGTGAATAACGAATGTGCTGTACTAAAAATCTGATACATTTTTATTCACTTATGAATAACGATAGCTAAAAATATAAAAAAAAAATTATTTTATCTTAAAACTATATTAATATGGATGTCTATTTGTAGAAAATAAAAAATCATGAATTTTGGTATATTTAAAATCATTTTTCGATAAAAATAGCTTCTTAAAAATTAAAAAAACGAAAAAAACTATGTTTTTGTATATATTAAGGTAGTGATTAGCATAGTTTAAGGAAACATGTTATGTTGGAAAAAACATGTGTATTCCTTTACCATTTCTGCTGGTACGACGGAGGTTTTTGCGGCAAAAATAAATAAGCGGCCGAGAATGATTCCCCCTTTCTCAATCTTTTTTATTTTCTCAATTGAACTTACCTCTATATATATATATATATATATATATAATATTATATATATATATAAAAGTTTAATAGAGAACCATAATTATTGGTTCTCCAAGGAACCAAATATTTTTTTCAAGTTCTAGAACTTATATATGAAAAAAGATTGGTTCCTTAATTTCTGAGAACCCGAGAACTAAAGGTGGAACGTTAGATTGAATTATTTAATGGCTTCGATTGATCATGGCATTTTTGTAAATATAAATGGATGCAATGACATTTTAGGTTTTTATCAACATACCACAAGGGTAAATCTGGAATTGAAAATAATTAAACCAAAAATATATATAAAAAAAAGAATAAAAAATCAATTCACCGTTAATAAAATATCCCTAATCTCTCTCTTTCTTTCTCTCTCTCATCTCCTCTTTCTCTCGTTCTTCAGTGACTCCTTCCTCCATTAACGTTCTCTCTATGCCTTTAACGACCACCTCCCCCGCCTTCCACCGACCACCGCTAGAGGTCAACGACCACCACCTACACCGGCTTACCAATATCTTTATCTTCGACTGCCACTACAATGACCTGATATCAACACTCTCTCTCCATTGTTCCCCGAGAAACTCCACCATTTGGAATCATCTCCATCTCCGATGAGCGAGATCTCTTCTTCCGTCCTTCTATCATCACATCACCTCCAAAGTGTGTCGCCTCCTCGCTTAAGTTCTTCCTCGTTGTCTCTTTCTCGCCTTCAGATCTGGATCCACAATCGATCCATATTTCGTAGTCGTTATCATCAATCGACATGGAATCCAAAATCCTCCAATGATCTAGGCTTAATTGTCGTTGATCATCAACAATTCATGCTTAATTATTGTATGAATCGATTGTGGTTTGCTTATAAATCTATTTTACCGTTGAGTTCTCTCCATCCTTATATCTATTTTGCTGCACATCAACCTGTAAGTATTTATTTGCACTTGCATCTGATTTCCAATTTCTGTTTGAACCTACATCGATTTAATATTTGTTATCTTCAATGGAAATTTGAATTGATTTTCATCCTCATTGTTAATCACGGTAATTCCACAAACGGTTTGACCTAATCGATATTGTGTTTAACATAACCAGAACGCAAGGCATTTTGTGTAGAAGATGATATCTAGTGATTGATTTGAGCTATAGTATAATTGTTTACTTTATTTCAGACAAACTTCTGATTAAATATACTTTTTCTTTTCCGTTTAGATTTCTAGATTAGAGTTGAAACTAGTGATCTTTGCAAGTGAGTAATCTGTTCAAAATGATATATTGTTATATTGTTTGTGTTTATGGCTATTTTTTTATATTTTGGTTTTATATGTTTTTATGCTATGTCATCTTTTTTAGGTATTGGGATTTGAGACAACAGAATCCAGTCCACACACAACAACTACCTGATTGTTGCTATGGACTTACAGTGAGACATCCTTTGATGGTTGTTGCAACAGCAGATAAAAATCTTATAGCATTCAACTTACAAAACCCTCAGGTAAACTGTTTTTATATAATTCATACATTCGCGTATCTGAGGCCACATTTTGTATCATTTTCAAGAAAGTTTTTGCCGTGATGGAGTTGGACACAAAATGCAGTAGTATAATGACTATTTCCATTACATTACTTAGCCTTATTCCATTCCATTCATTTCTTTCTCATTCCGCTCCATACGACCAAACATACCCTAATTGCCAAAAATTCAACTGAGTTGACTTTTATGTTTAACATGCGGAGTTTAAGAGAATCGGTACTCTACTTTTAAATAAGTTATATGATGGTTGTTGCATCATCTTGATGAAAAACAAAGTAGTAAAAATTTCACAATTAGATGACATAGAGAAACGATGTCAATGATTTATAATTGGCCTGCTGAACAGGTACTATACTTTTAAATAAATTATATGATTCTTTTTTTTAATTATTAGATATAGATAGATTAGTGCTTGTCTTCAAATTTCAAAACCTTTTTGCAAATTTTGTAGGTTGATATGATTGTTGTTACAGATGGAACCAGAATAATGGGTCTTGGTGATCTAGGAGTTCAGGGTATTGGAATTGCAATTAGGAAGTTGGATTTATATGTTGCTGCAGCTGGAATAAATCCTCAGAGAGTAATGTTTGCACATTATCCATCTCAATATATACATATTTCTAAAATTTGTCACTTGAAAACATATATCTTTTTCCTTTTTTTTTATTGTAACAAGTTCTTCCTATCATGATTGATGTTGGAACCAACAATGACAACCTTCTAGAAAATCCCTTGTGTAACTTTTTTTTCTTCTCTTCTTGATTTTTTTCGAACCTTATTAAGTAAATTACATGTGATTCACATGTAAATCACATATGAATCACATGTGATACACATGTAATTCACATATGAATTACATGTGATTCACATGTTATTCACATATGAATTACATGTGATTCACATGTAAATCACATGTTATTCACATATGAATCACATGTAAATCATATATAAATCACATGTTATTCACATGTAAATCACATGTTATTCACATATGAATCACATGTAATTCATATATGAATTAGATGTGATTCACATATAATTAACATACGAATTACATGTGATTTACATGTAAATCACATATGAATTACATGTGATTCACATGTAAATCACATATGTATTTTTATGAATGTTTTTGCATCAACCGATTTCTTTTTATTTTTCTTGTAGATTTGGAAGAAACTGTGGTGAATATTGAAGATGTGAAAAATGATAAATTGAAGAAAATATAGAAATATTGACACGAAGACATGAAAACGCTTTGAAATTTTGTAGCATTTTTTTGTTGTTTAAATTTTATAATGTATCGAATATAATACTTATTGTATTGTGTTTATAGATTAGTGAATAAAATAAGTTTTCTTATGATTTCTTTACAAATATTATAGTAAATGAAATATGCATATATGCATTTGTAAAAATATGCATAAATGTACCAAAAATGTTGATTTTTTTGGTTAAAAAGTTATAGTATTTTTCAAATATTCCAGTTTTTTTTTAATTTTATTGATTTTTACTTTTTTTTTAAATTGTAGTTTTTTTAAAAAAAATATTTTTTTTCAAAAATTCATGTTTTCTATAAAAAATTTAAAAAATCTGCACTTTAAAAAAAACTGAAAATACTATTTTTAAAAAAATCCAAAATTTTTGATTTATTATGTAATTTTTAGACATTTCTATTAATATTTACAAAAACACAGAAAATGAAACATTAAATGAGATTGATAAGATTACGATGATGCCCTTAATGAATTAGTTTTGACCTAACGCTCCACTTTAAGTTTTCGGATTCTCGGGAAACTATAAGTTCTCAACCGATATATATATATATATATATATATATATATATATATATATATATATATATATATATATATATATATATATATATATATATATATATATATATATATATATATATATAGGAGTAAGATCAAATGAGAACACCTAAAAGGTTGAGAACGCGAGAACAGATCTGGACCATCTAATTTTTAAGATGTGTGGCTATAATTAATTGTTATTTTTCTAATTATTAATACATTTAAAATTTAAATTTCAAATTAAAGAAAATTATAAAGGGTATTCAGGTAAATAAACATTACCCTAATTTTGTAAACTCCTATAATTACTCTCTGCCTCTCTATTTCGTTGACCTAATTTCATACAACATACAATCGACACCTTCATCACACAGCCGAATCACACAGCCGATCCTAACTACTTCAGTTTTCCTTTTCCCTTGCTCGACAGATGAACCATCCACATCGAACGATGATGCTTCCTGATTTCACCCCAAATGTCGATTTTTTGTTGTTTGCTCCTTCCCCCATTTGTGCGCTGGTGATGATGACGATTAAGCCACAAGGGTCGTCGGAGAATCGACGCCCTTCCTTCCCCTCTTCCCCCTGTCTCTTCAACCTCTTCGAACCCCAGAGACGATCGCAATTGGACACAACATCCTGAACATCGGACAGCACACCTGCGATGCGAGCCTTTCTTCCCTTCCCGTCGCCCTATTGCTGCCGTCGCTGGTGAGCCTTCACACTCTTTGCCCCTTTGACTTCCACCATCGCCAATTCCATCGAAGGCCAAGAGACCGCCTCGATTTCTCGTAAGCCCCACGACTTGCAATCCCGATTCAGGGCTTGAAGAATGAATGCAAAAATCATGATTGGTAATTGCAATCATGAAGGGGGGGGTGCGTGATTGGCGATGCAAGAAGAGGGGGAAATTTTGACAGGATTTCGTATGAAATTGAAGCTATAAATCAACAATTGGTAAGTTTTGATTCTTCCTTCTATTGTGTTCGTAGATCAAATTCTAGCAATCAGATATCCTTCACTACAGTGGTGAATAAATTTAATCAACATAGTCAGTTGTGTTCATTATAATCACTTATGATTATAAAAATGGTTGTACGTATGATTAAAAGACACTGATAATAACCATTTATGATTATAACAACATTTGTTTTTCTACTAATAATTCATTTTAATATTTTGTTGGTATTTTTGTTGTCTTTACATGTTATTGTTATTTTTGTAGATATTAATCAAAGAAAAAGGAATGCTAGAATTTTTTAGATATCGTGCCTGCTCCTGCTCGTTACACAAGCTCGCGAGCCATTTGATTCAAAGAGAATGAAGAGGTTGTGACAAATTCAAGAAAATGGCTGATATAGGGATGAATTTTGCAATTTTTTTCATTTGAAGTGGTTTAATCATTATTGAATATAATTATGTATAAATGTATCAAACTAGTCTTTGGATATTCTTTTATGAATATAAATATATAAATGTATAAACTCAATCTTTGAAAATTTTATTTTATGAATATAATTTTTAATGTGTTGATTTTTTTTTATTTGTTAGCATATTCATGTATGATTAGTACTTTATTTTTATTCATTTACAAATGTTATCTCTAAATTATGATTTATTATTTAGGATTACAAACATATATTTTTATAATTACAAATGTTTTATTCATATATGATTGAAATTATTTTGATGAATAATAAATTAGAAAAAAAAGGAATTTTTATTTGACAAAAAAAATAATATAAATTATCTTTACCGTCCATTAATAAAAGAAATAAAAAAAATCGATTGATATTTTATTTTAGGTAGATAATCATTATCGTTAAATTTTAGGAAATTAAGATTTGAATTTAATTTGATTTAATTTAAAATAAATAAACAATTACTAATATGCCTTTATAATATGATTGGTCGAGAACACGTAATGTCCAAATAGTGAAATTGAAGGCCTTTGTTTGTTCCAAACACCAAATTTGACCGATTACTACCATCACCATCTTTCATTCTGGTCACCACAACCACCATGTGGGCCGCTGCTGATGCCAGTCGTGGTGGAGCCACCATGAATCCATGATTGCCCCCTCTATGTCGATATTTCTCTTATGTTCACATACCCACACAGTAGTAGACACAAGCCAGTTACAACTTGCATTTGCCATTATAACCAAATACATTTATCAATTTAACCGAGGCTTGACTACATTAAACATCGTCTCCATCTTTTGATTTTTGAAATCAGAAAGTAATATGGTTCAGATCATGTTTTCCAGTCACTTAATATGGTTCAGATCAAACAACACAGTCAGGTTTTCATAATTCCACCGGCTCCATCTTTTGATTTTTGACCAAGTCAAAATTAATTTCAAAGAATTACACTTTAGTCCCTATAAACGAATAAGATTTGCCTTATTTTCATTTTGTCTCCTAGTCCTCCTTTCAACATGACTACCAAACTAACATAAAATCTAGATTACGTCAATGATAATATACATATAGCAAAATGTAATATTCTTTCTTAATTCTTTTAAGTTCAAGAATATCTTAGAAAATACAAAAGAGCTATATTTTTTCCCCTTCTCTTTAAAAATCCAATAACAATAATTAAAGAACTAAAAGTTAAAATGCATATATTTATGTTTTCAGATGTTACAAATACGTTCCTTTGAACAATTTTTTTTTTCCTAGAAATCACTAAAGTAGGAATAAGATTGTCGTCATCTAATCTATCCACGAGTTTGAAATTTCATAATGAATCCATAGATATTTCTTTTAAAAACTTATCGTCCTCAAGTTTCTTATATATGTTGGATCATCATAATTAATTGGTTGATGCTAGGATATGTGAAGTTTTTTCAATTTTATTTGTTGTAAGAAATTTTGACTTTTCAAAAGTCAATTTGTGCTCCAATCAACCTTTTCTAGTTCCATGGTCATCTCGTACTAGAGTATATTTATTTTCTCACCATTATTAATTTCCAATGGTTCAATCATATCTATTAGCCGGGATTGTCTTATCATCACAACACGATTATCTTTCCTAGTATACTGGGATATTAGTTAGTGACGATATTCTGCATATCCCATACCGAAAATAGGATAGCACAGTCTGTATCGCAAGATTATCTTTCCTAGTAAGATTATCTTTCCTAGTATACTAGGATATTAGTTAGTGAAGATATTGTGCATATTTCGTACCGAAAATAATGTATAACAACCTGCATATTTACTTGTATTATCAATGAAATACACACAGATTCAATATAATTATTAGCACGGTATCAGAGACCATAATCCTCTAAAAACGATTCTTAGCCGCCGATCTTCTCCTCTTTCTTTCTTTTATCGGATCTTCTTCTTCAATGGATCCCAAAAATCACTCTGCCATCACTGTTACAAACATCGGAAACTTCATTCCATTCACTCTCAAAATGGAAAATGGTCAATACACTTCATGGGCTGAGTTATTCAAAATTCAATGTCGTCCCTTCTAAATTGGAAATCACATCGACCCCCAGGTCAAACCACCACCATCCGCCCCTTCTTCCTCAATAGCTACCAAGGTCGAGAAGGCCAAAGTAACTTCTAAATCAGAAACGTGGTCTCGTCTAGATGCCATTGTTCATCAATAGATCTACAATACCATCTCTAATGATCTTCTTCACACTATCCTAAAACCTAACACTACCGCCTCACATGCTTGACAAGCTCTCGAAAACATCTTTCAAGATAATCAAAGTTCAAGGGTTATCCATCTTGACAGTAAGTTCGTCTCCACATGTCTTGATCATCTTCCAAACATCTCCTCCTACTGCGAAGCTATGAAGATGTCGGCGGATCAGCTTGCTAACGTAGGAAAACCGATGTCAAATGAAAGACTCGTTTTACAATTGATTGTTGGTCTCAATGAAAGTTACCAAGGCATCTCCATGCTCATACAACAAACCACTTCTTTTCCTGATTTTTGATGCCCGATCCAAACTAATCATGGAAGAATATCATAAAGCTCATAAAGTTGCCACCGCTGCAACATCACCTAACATCGGTGCCAACGCCATCGGTTTAACAGCCTCCACGACACCTACGAACCCCAGAAACTGTTGGATTAGTGTCTAAGCCCATAACTATTTTGGTATGTACTTGACCCGATTGCGAGCATGGTCCTTTTGGGTTGCCTTCACCAAAGCAACTTGATAGGATGATTTATGGAGAAAGAGATTAATTATGATTTATTAATATATTATATGAATAATATATTAAAAGAGAAATCATATTGTTTAATTAATATTATTAGTCAAGAATTAATGAGAATTAGTTTTGTGACTAAAAGACATTAATTAAATAAAGGGGACTATAACTGTCAATTGTGTGATA